TTACTATAAAATGAGATATTTTCATCGCAAATGAAATACATATCTTGACTAAGACAATTATAGAGAACAAAACAAGGCAATAAAAAAATCCATTGCCGATGTCCTTTAAGATTTTGGAGACGCAAGGCAACATTACTCACACTGATATCGGTAAAATAAAAACGAGTCCCAGGACAATGTTGCTGGAAATTTGGGTCATCACCCGAATTATTATAGAGTTCATCAGACTCAGCTGCTTAGTTTATTCCTATATTCGTAAAAAAATCATTAAAAGATTTAGCAATAACTTTATCATCAGAAACAATTGTATCATTATTTAAAAGCTCTTTAACACTCGGCATTTATCAAGGACCAGCTTTTTTAAAGATTTTTAGAAAGTGTTCAATGCTCAATTTTCTCACAAAAATATTTTGACTTTGCCTCGTAGATCTCGATGTTCACGTTATTGCGCTCAGATTTATATAACAACCATTGTGACTGAGAATCGTGTTGTATTGCTTGTTTTTTGTGGAAATCCCTCTTTCTCATACGCTGTTTAACTTGGGGTGTAATCCATGGTATGGCGCAGTTCTGCCTCAACCTCTTCTGCCGTAGAGGTGCATGTCTATCAAGAGCTTCAAGAAAGAGCGATTTCCACACCTGCCAAGATGTGTTTGGACTGGCAAATTCAGTGATTTATAGAATCCCAAGGTAGTTGGGAAATATCATGAATAAAGTTGTTTTGAACAAAAATTTTAAAATCTCTAACGTTTTTCCCGATTTTGGTAACGTAAGTTTTCTAATAGCAAAAACCAGACTGTGATAAGATATCCCAAGGTGAACAACACCAGACTGGGATATATTTTCTGGTTTGTTAGTTAAAATTAAATCAATTAAAGAAGCTGATGTTGGCGTAACTCTCGTTGGCTCATTGATAAGTTGATCAAACTGTTAAAGAGAACATAGGAATTGTAATTTTCGTGTTTGATTATCGAGCGGAGTTTTACTAACATAACAATTCAAATCTCTTAAGAAGATTAACTCTTTGTTTTCAGCCTCACATTTTCATAAAAATTCCGCATATTCATCAAAGAAATTTATATCTGAGTTTGGTGGTCTATACCACGCATTAATTAAAAGTGATTTGTTGTATGGCCTATTAATTTCAATACATACCATCTCAAGATCTTTCGATATTAGATCTTTCCTTTCCGAGAATGATATGTTATCACGGACATATAAAACCACCCGACCCCCATATCTATTACGTTCTTTCCGAATAATATCATACCCAAATATATGTAATTCATTACACTTATTATTTCACCAGATGAACATGTATAAAACAACTAAATTCAAAATAAAAGCATTAGAATGCATCAACACGTTATAATATTCCGCCATTTTAATTATACTGTATGAAGTCGTGACTATCTTGTCACCTTAGCAACTCTCCGTTTCCATGACGACATATGTAGGCGTCAACTGCGTGGCGACATACGCGCATAAATTTCAAAACTTTTTTCAGCTTTCAAGACAAATTTGCATAATTTCACGTAAGTTTTTTAATTTTGTTTATTTTTTGTCCCTTAATTAGTTTATTTTGCACCTTCGTGTTTTGTTATTTGTTTTTCTACAAATTTATCCAATTTTAAACGGAATTTTAAACTTAATTTTGTGAATTTTAATGAATTTTATTTCACTTGTTTCGTGATGTAAACGTTAAAATCATTTATAATATTTATATTTAAATATACATAGTTTATTATGATTTACCTAAACAAAAATAAACATTTCATAATATCCTTTTTACCTTGAAATTGTATTGTTTTATTCTCAAAATTTTTTTAATAATTTTTATTCACTTCATTATTCAAGTTTGCATAAATTTTCGTTTCTTCTTATACTTATCTTGTTATAGTCTCACTTTCATAAACAGGCGTGTCGTTCCTTGACCTGCCAGTAGGTTAGAAACACGTCTCCCTGTCATGCTTGGAACCAATAATTCATGACATTGTTTCTCTTTTTGAAACAATCTATGGGCAAAGTTGCAGTAGCTTACCTCTGCAAATACTGTAATTTTGGTTTTATCTTTGATTATAGCACCCGGGTTTTGCGCAATCCAACCTTGTTCTTTTCCAAACTTTTGTTCGTAACTTCATTTTTCATCTTATCATCGCATCTTAATAACTATATTAATTAGTGTAACTAATACCAATATAGGTAACTTTTGCCAAGTATCAATTTTATCCTAATTGATACAATTATTCTCTTGATACTACAGTACACACAACTTAAAAATTTAATTTTAAATCATCATGATTTTATCCCATATTATTAACATGATTTCCATACCTATATATTATAATTTTATTATCTATAGCATCCAACAAATATTCTCAATAACTAACCAGCAATTCCTAAACCTATACCGCAATCAATTTCTAAATTCAACTAAACAAGCAAACATATCTAGACGAACAGAGTTATTTACCTCAATCAATGGCGACTTATTCTACTCTCTAAAACAATGGCCCACGAAAATGAAACTTAAATTTTGGAAAAAACCTATCAGCGACAACGACAGTTTTGAGCTGTTCCTATTTTTCATTGGCAATGGAGGATCACTTCATATCATTGCAGATTGGAATCTTACTTCACAAGCTTGGGCAGAGTATGGCAAAATGGAGAAACGGGCTAGGCAGCTAGACTTCATGTTCAACAACAAAGAAGCCAAAACAAATATTTGGTTTTATTTTGATATGTACCATTTGAATTGGAGATTTCTTGATGGTGCTAAAAGACAATACAAAGTGAACAACTCGGCAAATAATTGTTAAATATTGAATAACGTTCTCTACCTTTTGAAACCTATAGAAATCATGCAAGCACATTTTATTATGACCCACCCCCAGACTGTTGTTAAATTTTCAATGACCCATCCCCTTTTAGATGTTCAAAATTCGATGACCCACCCCCTGATTTTTCCAGCCCCTCCCACTGTACTTTATGACCGGTCCCTTAATAAACATGCTACGGCATGATAGTGATTTCGAAGCAACTTTCTCACATATATTTTAAAAAGTGGGATAATGAATCAGACTTTGCTTTTTGCAATCCCAAGAAGGTATGAAAATTATTTAAATATTTAAGGTTTCCGTGTTTATATAGTATATTTTAAGTGAAATAAAATTTTTCCAGAGAAAAAAGCATAGTTTAAATTGTGCAGAAAATTGTTTTTTGAGATATCGATATAGAAGATCCTGGGAGAGAGGGTATCGAAGCGTGGGCGGATAGCAAAAAACCTTGAGCTTTGCTCCTTTTCGGGTAATGTCCTAGTATAAGTTGACCTTTCGTGTTTCTTGGGAAGCGAAATAAGCATGAAATTAAACATTTAAAAACGTTCGAAAGCATATTTGACGTCCTTCGGGAGTTCGTATTATAAAGTTGGTCTTCGTTCGCCTTTCGAATATGCCTCGATTAACAAAAGATCAAAGAGTTTGGGTTTTATGGTTTCCCGTACAAAACATTCTATACATGCAAGGGGACATACTTTATATGATGAATGAATAAATTTTTATCAAACAATTATGTTTTTCATTCGCTCTTTTGGGCACAGTAAAACTATATAATCAAGTTTAACAAATAATATTTAATAGGCAATTTTATGCACATTTTTCACATAGTCAAATATGCTTATCCGATTCAAAACATCGATAGCTCAGTAAATATTGCACGGATATTCAAATGTTATATATCAAAATCTAAGTTAGCCGGCCTTTGTGAGTACAACATAATTTATTTGAGTGCAATAGCTTTTATAGTTTTTACGTTACATTAAATCAAACAGCGCAAGTTTTTTGGGGGACACCCAGTATATGCTGATTAAAATTTAGTTTAGTCTACAATAGTAGATCCTTTCAATGAAGGGAAATTAAAAATAGTATATTTCATTACTTTTGCAGCACCGGTATTGCAAAAAATACTGAAAAAAGTAATGAGTAGAAATTACAATTACTTCTCCTAAAAAGGAATTGGTTAGAATACAAATGGCTATTAGTAAAAACAGGAACACCGGAACAACGGAACACGGAACACCGGGACACCGGAACAGCATCATACCGGAACACTAAAAATTCTTAATTTGTTAAAAATTCGGAAAAAAATACCGGGGGTTGTGAAAGTATTGCGGCAATAATTATTGCGTAAAACGTGCCTTTCTGACCGATAGCTACTAATAACGAACAAAAATCTTCGCAGAAATCAGTCTCAAAGTAATAAATATTTGCCCGAAAAATAGAAATCACACCTAGAATTGTTATTTGTTCAGAATATTGAATATCTTTGTTTGTTGTTGAAAACATGACAATCAAAATATTAAAGTAACAACAGTTGATTGGCTTCCGTGTTTTTACCGACTTAGCTACTCTTGAAGTGCAAAAGGATAATTTTCAATTCTCGTTCGAAGTTGGTATTTAGCATCACTTTAATACAGACAGTTCTTTAATATTGATCCTTTCTCACACGAAATGTTTTATAACTATAAACGGCGATGATAAAAAACCTTTAGCGTGTGATAATATAAACCTTTCGCTCAATTAAAACGACAAAAATACAAACAAATATAATTATAGGCCATGTAAGTTGTATATATAAATGATGTTTCAATGCATGCACGTGTGTCTATTCGTCCATGTTTAAACTGTAAATTAAACTGACACTCATGCAGTGAGGGAATTTTAGTACGAGTAAAAATCCCACGACTCTATCCGCGTTTTCGCTCGAGTTTTCGCTTGCCCTGAGATTCAATATTGTTGGCCGTCTAATATGGCATAGCATATACCGAGCATACTAGCCTACATATAAGAAGGTCGCACACGACGACGCGGTACTAGGCTATATGACCTATATGTCCTGTATATATCATAGGCTATAGCACGAAAGATTGCATATACTAAATTATTCCCTTTTAGGATGCGTCAGTTTTATATTTATAAACAACAAGTTGATTTTACAACTTGCACTTGAAAAATAGATGTGTCGGTGTAATTTTTAACTTTATACAAACTCGTCAACCTCACAACATGTCAGGCTTGCCAGATTCTCACTGCCCTGAAAAACTGAATTCCTTCCAATTCTCAGTCAAAAACCAAATTGGCTAAAATAAACAAGAGAGGAATATGTCATCTTCTGCTTACATGTTTGTAAAATCAACTTGTTGTTTATAAATATAAAACTGGCGCATCCTAAAAGGGAATAATTTAGTGTATGCAACCTTTCGTGCTATACTCCTATAGCCTATACTGTGTCAGTACTTCCATAATGATATATACAGGACATATAGCCTAGTACCGCGTCGTCGTGTGCGACCTTAATTCTTATATGTAGGCTAATATGTTCGGTATGCTATGCCATATTAATAGACGGCCAACAATATTGAATCTCAGGGCAAGCGAAAACTCGAGCGAAAACGCGGATAGAGTCGTAGGATTTTTACTCGTACTATTAAAATTCCCTCTCTGCATGAGTTTCAGTTTAATTTACAGTTTAAACATTAGTCTAGGACCTGTATATGAGTTTGTATGCATTTCATTTAGGACAGATAATCTCAACTGTTTTAGGGTAAGTTGACCATGACGGTCAACATGGTAACGCTGCCCGAACCCCAATCCGGGGCAGCCTCGTACCCAGGCGCAAATAACGTACTAAAAATTAGCAACACTACAGTGTTTTTATATAGATCAGTGGCTAAGAGAGCGAGCGCGCGGGGGTGCTAGGTCAACACACGACGGGATTCTGCTGCGCCTGGCAGAAAATGTAAATATGATTCTTCAGAAATACGATATCTGAAGAATCGAACCATTCAGCTTTTTACTCGTGCCTTTTCAATTATTTTTGGCGTTTTGGTGCTGAATATTATATTTATATGTGCTTATGGGTGACCTGGAACAATCGCTGAAGGAATTATCAAGAAATGAGTGTTAGAGGTGAGTGTTTGTATTGGTTTGCCTTGAGATTTCATTATTCTCTGTATATTATGTGTGCATCATTGTATAAATCTTGGTCAAGATGACTACAAGAAATAGGATAGGTTTCATATTTTAAAAGAATTTGTAAGCTGCCCACAAAAGGAGAAAGAATAATTTCAACCAGGGATGCACCTTTAATAATTTAACACCAGAATCAAAAGCCCATGTCGAGTTCCAGCCAAAGAGATTTGCTGATCAAATGTCTTTATACTATACAATTCTAAAAGTTGTAAATACTTGAATAGTTTATTTTCAGCAAACAATCACTGAATTGATACAGAACCCAGTAGTGCTGTCACTACTATATGACTACTGCTTGATACATGTATATTAAATTTGCCATGAAGTGATTTGAATATTTCTGTTTTTCAGTGTATTGTGTGCAGTTTGACTGTTTGACATTAGTCACTGATGTTCCTGAATTCCAAAAGATTTTCAACTACATGAGATATGAATATAGATATAATATTATATTTGCAACCGATGAAATGTATATTTTCTCTGTAGCTGGTACAGTTCAACATAGCACAATTTGATTCAACCTCGTTCCCAGGGTCTTTCTTAGAACGGCGCGAGGCGAAGGAAAGACCCTGGTTTCGGCTGGTCACGTGTCACCCAGATTCTGGGTGATAAATTAAAATGATACTATGGGCAGGGTGGGAGAGGAGCGTGTTTGTCGC